TTTGGTATACTAATACTCAAACTGATAAGAAAAGGCCCTTAGGGCAATTCTGTTTCCCTTGTTAATATAATCTGAAAGGGTGCTTTGCAGGTGGGGTCTAATTGCTTCTTGGCAGGCGGAATTAGCATTTTCAAAGGCCAGATGTTTTACAAAAGCACTTTCTTCTGATTCCCCAGCTATCCTTTCAGCCACACTTGTAAGGCAACTGATAAACTCAGCGTATGACTCATCCCGGCCCTGGCGTGCTTTGCCAGAGAGGAGGTGGCGGGGCCCCTTTGGGGGGAGGTGCCGCCAGGCTTTGAGCACTGCTCCAGGAGCTTGTGCTAAGAGTCCAGGGGGAAAAGCTGCCTGTGCTTCATTTGCGACTGGTGGAGTATTATCTTTAAGAGCCTTTTCACCATTTTTAATAATTTCTTGAATATCTGGATCTAAGGGATGGGCTTTAAGGATACCGTGAATTAAATTCCAATAGGAGAAAGTAGTTACAGGGACCTTTTCTGGCCCAAAGGTTTGGTAATAATCTTGTAATGCTTCCCCTACTCTTTTCCATTTCTTGTGATTTATTGTTCCCTCGACAGGGAACCAGGGGCAGGTGTCATGGATGAAAATAAAAAAACTGTTTTAAATCTTTTCTTGAGACCTTAATTCCTCATGCTCTGAGAGACTCCTTGAGCCCTTGAACAAACTGTTCCTGGGAGCTAGAAGTATTGCCCATGCCTCTTAAATATCGCCCCTGCAGGTCAGTATACGTGCTGACACACACCCGAGAGACCCTGTCGCCTTGTTTGTAACCGTAGGTCTCCGGTGGACGGCTTAGAAGGAACAATACACCACTCCTCCTACTCAAAGCAGGCTGGTCTTTCTCACAGAAACTGGGGTCCCAGGAAGGGACTGATTAAAAGGACTCAAGTTTTTCTTGTTTGAAAGATGCGTCAGCTTACTTTGTCTTCCCGATCTGACTCGCGGTCGGTTCTTCCGCGGCGATCTTGAGCAGACTCTCTCTCACGTGTCAGTACAGCGTGGGGAGTCAGGGGTGCCTGGCCAGGCTGTCTGTAGCTGACGTTCCTCTAGGCGGTCTCCCTCAAGCCCACCACGTTGGGCGCCAGTTGCCCTGGCCCACGGGGCTTCAACGTTGGGGGGGTCGGGAGAATAACCTGAAGGAATGAAACAAACAAGGAATGCGAGGAAATGGAGGCAAGACAAGGATCTGATCAAGCCTCAAAATTTTATTTGAAAGCAGCAGACATATATACTGGTAGTTGGGAGGGGGAAGGTGAGGAGAAGGAAAGTGCTGGGCAGACGCTAATTGGATGCTATAGCTAGGGAGGTTTATTTCTTATCCTAAAGGAACATCTGCTAACTGCTATGGTGAGCATAAAACATTTCTCAAGGCTGACTTAGCCTGGGTCACAAAGTTGTTTTTCTACATTCTTTAACTAAGTGCTATCTTATAGAAACTTACAGAAAACCATAAAGCTGTCTTTTCTCAAGGCCATAGAGATTTGCAGGAAACCATAAGGCTGTCTTCCATAGAGATTTACAGGAAACCATAAGGCTGTCTTTTCTCAAGACCATAAAGATGTTTTTCTTCTGGCCTTTTGGCTCCCAACACCAGATGCTTTGTAATCTTTTCAAAAGTTTTTCTTAATTTCTTTCCTTTTATCTGATGAGATCATTTCCAAAGTCCCATCTTCATGCCTGGAAATTTTCTTCTGCCTGATCAATACAGTTGAGGTTCTCAGCTCTGTGCTTCCATTTACTGAACTTTTTTGGTGTCACAGTTTCTCTTTATTATTGCCATGTACACTGAATTTCTCACTCATATAATGGCCTTCCTATTTTTATTGAATTATCTGCTTTCGTTCCCCTTGAGCTCACTAAATTTACTTGAAGTCGTTTGTATGAAATCTTCGCCACACCGTTTGTCACCTTTCTGTTGGTATGTTGTTTTGTCATGCTTCTTGTGCCTCTGTTGGTATTTGCGTATCTGCAGGGTCAGCTGTCCCTACCGAAAAGGGATATGCTTAATTTGGTGCAGAAGAAAATATCAAAATTTCACTAAACACTGTGATGTCCTCTGTGGGCTTGCCATATGTGACCTTTATTTTTTTAAATTATGTATTTATGGATGTATTTATTGTTTTATGTGTGTGAGTGGGGCCAAATAAGTGCCACAGCCATGTGTGTGCCATGGTGTGTGTGTTGGGGGGTGGGTCAGAGGGCAACTTTTGGGAGTCAGTTCTCTCCTTCCACATTGGGTCCCAGTGCTCAGATTCAGCTCCTCAGTCTTGTTCAGCAAGCTCTTCTATTCACTGAGTCATCTTACCAACTCTCTATTTTTATTTTTGCCAGTATATTCTTGCTATTATGAAGAAGCAAACATCTGGATTTATTTATTTCTATTTTGTTTGTATGAGTGTTTTGTTTACATGCATGCAAGTACATCTCTGTCATGCAATGCCCAACGAAGCCAGAAGAGGGTGTCAGATCCTCTGAAACTGGAGTTATAGATAGTTGTTAGCCACTGTGTGGTTGTTGAGACCACACCAAACCCAGGTCCTCTGCAGGAGTAGCCAGTGTTCTTAACCGCTGAACATCTCTCCAGCCCCCAGAAGGAGAAACCGTCTTCTAGGAGCTGTGTTGTCTACCATCTCACTTTTATTCTCACTCTCCTTTAGCTTTCCATAGGAGTTGTACGCTCTGGGGACTTTTTCTTCTTTGGATTATGATTATATGGAAACTACCCTCCATTAGAATATAGGTTTCTTAGGAACATGAATTTTCTTTGGTATATGTAATGCGCCCGCCCCTAGCAAATAACAAGTGTTAAGTATACTGTGCGATCAGCAAGCATCCTTGTATTTCTTAGATGAATGGGGACTCTTGGCTCTGTCCAGATGAGGTGAAAAATAATGACCAGTGGCAACTGTCTTAGTTTTATTTCTGTTGATAGACTACTCTGACAAAAAGCAACTTCAGGGAGAAAGGGTTTGTTCCCAGTTCCAGGTTACAGTGCATCACAGCAGGGAAGTCAAGGTGGCAGAAGCTTGAAGCAGTGAGTCACATCCACAGTCAAGGGCAGAGACATGCATGCTTTAACACTTAGCTCACTTTCTCTACACTTATACAGTCCAGGGCCCAAACCCAGGGAATGTTGCTGCCCATAGTGGGCTGGGTCTTCCCACATCAATTAACATAATCAAGACAACCCCCTATAGACACGCTCCCAGTCCAATTTGATCTATACAATCCCTGATTAAGATTCCCTTCCCTGGTGAATTTTGATTGTGTCAAGTTGATAATTAAAACTGACCATCAGAGCAACCTAATCCAATTTCCTTTACATCAGTGTCAGCTCTGTGATAGGAGGCCTTTTGTACATAATTCCCTGGAAAAATCAATGTAACCCTTCTAATAGACTGTCTTTGAGTTGGAGTTCATTATATTGGGGTTTAGATTAATTAATCTATTCAACTAACACACAGTGTTCACCTTCTGTATTGCAACATTGATGTGCCTAAGGAAACAGGGATGGCAGTTTTTGCCTCCAAGGAGTTTATGATTTAGAGGCAAGACAGGCCAAAAATAAAAGCAAAGCAAAATAAATTAACAAAATGTTAAGTATATATTGTGATAAAAATGTTAAGTATATGGGGCTGGGGAGATGGCTCAGCAGTTAAAAGCACTAACTGCTCTTGCAGAGGATCCTGGTTTGGTTCTCAGCACCCACTTGGCAGCTCACCACCATCCATAACTCCCAGTTTGAGGGGATCTGATGCCCTCTTCTGGCCTCTGTGGGCATTGCACTCATGGGTGCACTTCCGTACATGTGGGCAAAACATTCATGCAATAAAAATAGGGGCTGGAGAGATGGCTCAGTGGTTAAGAGCACTGACTGCTCTCAAGACCTGGGTTCCAATTCCAGCATCCACATGGTGGCTTGACAATTACAGCTCCAGAGGATCTGATGCCCTTTTCTGGTCCCCAGAGGCACTTCACAGCACAGGTGCACTTACATATGTGCAGGCATAACACTCATACACATAAAATAAAAATAAAAAATAAATAAATAAATAAAAACTTTAATAAAAGAATGCCAAGTGTATGTTGCTAAGTGTAATGAAGGAAAGAAAATGGTGTTATGATGAAAGATTTAGCACATTTACAAAAGCTGTCTTTTCCTGAAATATGTTTGCATTGACACTTATTCTTTTGTAAAACAGTCTACAGTTTCTCATTTTCTGGCTTCCTACTTTTCTTTTTATCAACACCATTAAATTCACTTGTGTCTGTTCACAATTCCAGTCCTACTGATATAACAGGCAGAAAATTCCCTGCTAAATTCCAGTTTTTTCTTAGCCAGCATCATCCAATACGGTTACCATACCCTTTTCTTTTCCTCTGACACCTTGGGGAAACCTGGGTCAGATACAACTATTGCAAAGCTACTCAATTTTCAGTGGAGTGAATAAATATTTATAAGGAGACATAGGAGTCCAGTTGTAGCAGAAAAAGTTATTGGATGGGTGAAAGTTATTGGATCTGCCTAGCTTGGTCTGCTAGTAGAGGCCAATAGAGGTGGATAGTGAGGGAAAGGGCAGGAAACCTCAGTCACATGATGAGACTGTGACTTACGTTTTAAGAGGAACTCTTTTAAAAATATTTTATTTCATTTTTATTTATGTATATATGTATATATGGGTTTGTGCATGTGAGTGCAATGCTGGAGTTACAGATCAATGTGGGTGCTGGGACTCGAACTCAGGTCCTCTGGAAGAGCAGTACAGGCTCTTAACCACTGAACCATCTTTCTAGCCCTTAATGGGAACTCTTTAACCCAACAAGGTGGAGCATACTTTTCATTCATTCTTCTCAAGAGTGAGGGAAGGCTAGGGGAAGACTAAGTCGTGAGTGTTTATGTGGCTGGTGTCCTGGTGGCTAGGCTACAAGGGCTTGAGACATCTCCAGTGACCTCGCTAATTGGGCTTCTTTTTGACCAGTGTTTGTCCAGCATGACGCCGCTCAGCTCTACCTCACAATCTGGAACCTGACTAAGGACCAAATCACTGACGTGGACTTGGTAAGAGCCAGGATCTGAAGTCACGTGTGAGATGCTGCTTGTGGAACTCACTCCATGACTGTTCATGTGCTGCTAGCGAGGAATGAGTTTGGCACAGCTTCCCAGTGTGGTTACTGTCACCTTCTGGACACTTGTGTTTCCAGGGAAGCAAACGTGTGGCTACCACTTCTGAGGCTTTGGTCTGGAAACCACCTGTCCTGACCTAATTCAGTGACCCTCATCGTTTCCCTGTGTTCCCACTTGCAGGCAGAGCAGCTGCGGGCCCTTTTCACAATTGGGATAAAGGAGTCCCTAGTTTGTCTGTGCTGTGCTGTGGAGAGCAGCAGAAACAGCAGCCTCCTGACCCTCTCTCTTCCTCTTTTTGATGTGGACTCAAAGCCCCTGAAAACACTGGTGAGAGACTTCTTTTGGTGAATTTGTGCATTCCAAGATAGCCAGCTCCCCCACCCCTACCCCTTGTTCGTTTACCTACCCTTGGATTTAAAAAATAAATTTGGGGGTTGCAAGATGGCTTAGTGAGTAAGGGTGCTTGCTGCTAAGTCTGATGACCTGAGTTCAATCCCCAGGTCCCACATGGTGGAAGGAGAAGAGAACTGATTCCTATATGTTGTCCTCTGACCTCTGTGCCCACGCCAGTGTGTGTACATGCCTCCCCCTCCAAATAAATGAATGTAATGTATTTTTTAAAGCAACTTGTATTTTACTTGTATGCCCTGGGTCAATCCTTCCTTTAACTTACCCCCCCCAACCAAAAAAAATCCTCACACTGTTCCCCTGGCAAGTCCCATCCTGTTTTGTTCCTGTCGTCAGTGGGTACTTTCTAAAATCCTGCCGTTTAGGGGGATAGAGAAAAAGGGAAGCAACGTTTGAATCCCCACCAGTAGGGGTCAAGGGTTGTTTCTGTGACGGAAACATGACCACCACCTTCTGCTTGTCTTGGTGGGGGCAGGAGGATGCCCTGCGCTGTTTCTTCCAGCCTAGGGAGTTAGCAGGCCCAGGCAAGTACTTCTGTGAGAACTGTGGAGAGAAGACATCGGGGAAGCAGGTACTCTTTAAGTCCAATCCTCTTTGCTGGTCTGGGGTTGCCTCATGGGGTTTCTGATAGTCTTTGCAGAACCCCAAGGGCGTCTCATGGTGCTGATGTAAGGGAATCTGACTCCAGGTAGTACCTGGGATCCTGGAGCTTCTGATTTCCAGAAGTGTGGGCATGTCTTCATATCCATATCACTGAGAGGGGCAGAGAGAACCTTTTAAGAACAAGATGAGAACTTTGGGGAGCAGTGGGTAGGGTTTTCCCGTTAGGGTTGGGCCAGAGCCCTAAAGCAGGCTCCATAGTTTCTGTATGGCAGAGACCCAGGGCCGCCATGCAGATGTATGACAATCACATGTTGTGAGTCTGGAAGGCACTCAGCAGATTGGGTGGACAGGAGCCTTCAGCTCTGTACTGTAGCAGCCTGTACTGCCCCTGAGAGAAAGAACACACTGCCAGTCTTGATACTATCTGAATCTGCCCATCATAAGTACATGAAGACTTCATCACCACGCTGATGTTGCTTTTGCAGGTCTTGAAGCTGACCTGTTTGCCCCAAACCTTGACTATCCACCTCATGCGGTTCTCCATCAGGAGTTCCCGAACTGAAAAGATCTACCATTCAGTATGTTTTCCTCAGAGCTTGGATTTCAGTCAGGTTCTTCCAACGGAGAAAGACCTCAGTGATGGAGAGGAGCAGGTGAGGCCTTGCCTTCCATCCTACCTCTATCTCAGCAGACTCACTGTCCCTCTGAGTTAGCCTCCTGTCCCTATTGGCCACTAGACATCACCCACTCCGGATGGAACTCCGCACCAGGTCCACATGGTTGGTCTGTAACTGGCCACCAGACTCGGATGTAACACTGTTCCACATAGTGAGGTTGCTTTCTGAGGCCAGTTTTCACCCAGTGACTTGGGACCCCTGGTGGCCACACTTGGCATGTACAACAGGGGAAAATCAGCTGCAGCTTGGTGTGAGTCATTGAAGTACATATTCAAGACGTTTTCTGTTTTTTTCATTTTTTATAAATTAAAATTTAAGCTACATAAATTTTATTTATTTATTTATTATTTATTTATTTATTTATTTATTTAATTTAGTGTGTGTTGGGGAATGTGTGGAGGTCTGAGGACAACCTGGGGGAGATAGTTATCTCTACCACCGGTCCCAAGGACTGAACCCAGGCTGTTAGTCTTGGAGGCAAGCACCTTTACCTGCTGAGTCATCTCAACAGCCCAAGATAGACTTTCTTCCTTTTTTTTCTGTTTGCTCATTCGCTCTTTTCCTCCCCTTGCTTGCCTCCTTCCTTCCCTCCTCTTTTTCTTCCTCTCTTTCCTTTCTCCTTCCGTCCCTCCATTCCTCCGTCCCTCCCTCCCTCCCTCTCTCCCTCCCTCCCTCCTTCCCTCCCTTTTTTCAGACAGGGTCTCCCTGTAGCCCCAGCTGGCCTGGAATTCACTATGTAGACCAGACTGGCCTTGAATTCACGGAGATCCACCTGCTTTTGCTTCCCAAGTGCTGGGATTAAAGGCGTGGGACACCACACCCTGTTCGCCCTTCTCACACTCCCCCTTCTTGGCGGACCTGAGTACTAAGCGCTCTTCTTGCCCTCTTTTTCCAGGAGCAGGAGCAGGAGAAGGAGGCCTGGAGGAGGGCAGCCTACATCTCCACCCTTCCCAGACTTCTTTCTTAAGCAATACTTTAATGGTCAAACCTATGTGGTCCTGAGAAGCAATGTTTGCTTTTGATTTTCTTTTAAGGAATCAGAAAATGTCCTTATTTTTTAAATATTGGGTTTTCTCAAAATGTGTCAGAGAAGAACCTATAATCCAGTGCTTTCCTTTTGAAGTGACACATGGAAAACTTATCAGCACATGAGCAGACATACCATTTTGGGTTCTTAGTGCCAACTAAACTTTGGTATTAAAATAACCAAAGTCCACTTTGAAGATAATGACAAAATAGCCTAGTTTTTGGACCAAATTTTAACTGAGGAAAGTTTAATTCATTTGTTCCAAGATAATGATTTCTGTTTGTAACTCCAGTTCCAAGGAAATTCCATGTCCTCTTCTGACATTGCATGATACAGGTGCACTTACATGCATGCAGGCAATATACTTATACACATAAAATAAAAATAAAAGGGTTTCATTATGGAAAAATTTAAATAAATACAAAGGAGTGAGGAATATATAATAAATCCTCATGTATCCATCAAGCAGTTTAAATAGACACAGAAACCCTTGACCAGTCTCAGTTTGCCTCAATATCATCCTCTTCTTTTACTCAATTTTCTCCTGGATTATTTTGAAGCGAATCCCAGAGTTTATACTATTTCATTTAAAAAATATTTATTTAGTTCTCTCTAAAGAGTGAGCACTCATTTTTAGCATACTCAACTCTGTCTCATAATTTCTTTAATATTTACAAATATCCAACCAATGTCCTGATACCTCTGTTCTATAATTTCTGTGGGTGAATTTAGATCCAAACTCTATATTTGCATTTGGCTAACCCACCCCCACCTCCTTTTCTTCCCCTTCCTTCTCTCTCTGTCCTTTTCCCTCCCTCCACTTCCTCTCCCCCTTCCTTTTTCCTTCCCTCCCTCCTCTTCCTCCTCCTCCTCTTCTGCCTTCTCTTTCTCTTTTAAGTTTTTTTCCCATCCTTTTTTTCTTGTTATTATAATCCTTAATTGGTGTCTTTAACATATTCCTCCCATCACCTTCCTTTTTTGTAACTTGATCACCATATCCAGATATTGCCTTTCAATTTAACAAATTTCAGCAAAAAAAAAAAAAAAAAAAATTACCGAAAGAGTAGAAGGCACTGGAGGGCCTTCATGCCCTCCTTTCAGGGCCACTTGTCCTCTTCACAGGGCCATAACCCTCTTTCCTTCATTGATGATGTTTCTCAAGTCTCAGGTAATGGCCATTATTTGACTATGTGGAGAAACTATGTAAAGTATTCTTTTCCTTGTTTTTTAAAGTATTCCACAGAAAATGCTAATTTATGAGTTTATTTTTTAAGTTTTAAACTTAGCCAGGTGTAGTGGCTTGCACTTGTAATCCAAGCCCTTGGAAACTGAGTTTGAGGACAGCCTAGGGATTACAAAGCAAGACCTTTTCTCAAAAATTCAAAAAAGGGCTAGCTAGCTAGGTGGCTCAGCAGGCCCAAGTCTGAGGACCTGAGTTTGAAGCCCTTACATGGTAGAAAGGGATAAATGACTCCCCAAAGTTAACCTCTGACCTTCATGCATACACAGAGATAAATGAAACAAATAAATGCATAAATGAAATAAATGTCTAGAGTCATCTTTAAAAAGCCAAAAGAGACTTTGAAAATTTAATTAAATAAAAAATTATTTGTGGTGTGTGTGTGTGTGTGTGTGTGTGTGTGTGTGTGTGTGTGCGCGCGCACATATGGAGGTCTGAGGATGACTTTGTGGAGTTGATATTTTTGTAAAATTATTTTTATTTTATGTGTATGAGTGTATTGCCTGCATGTGTGTAAGTGCACCCATGTTGTGCAATGCCCGAGGAGGTCAGAAGAGGGCCTTGGAGCCCCTGGAACTAGAGTTGTGGTAGTTGTTAGCTGCCATGTGAGTGCTGGGAATCGAAACTGGGTCCTCTGCAAGAGCAGTCAGTGCCCTCAACCACTAAGCCATCTCTCCAGCCCCTGGTGTTGATTCCTTCCTTCAACTTTTATATGGGTTCTGGGGATTGAGCTCAGGTCACCAGGCTTCTATGGCAAACATCCCAACCCCCGATCCATCTTGCCAGCCCACATTTAATTAAATTTTGATCAACAAATAAAAATTTTGTGCATATATAGACATATATGACCACAATGTGATGTTGTTGATGTGTGTCAGCACTCATGTAGTGTCAGCAATTAGACAATCTCCATTATAACTTTTTAATGAAGGTATTTAAAATCTATTTTAGGCAATTTTCCATTGTAAAGCACATTAGTATTGACGGTAGTTACTATTCTGTGCAATAGATTTCTGGAATCTATTTTCCCTGTGTAACCAAAGCCTTGTATACTTTGACCAACATCCTCCCTTGACCCTCGTCCCTGGTAGCACCGTGCTACTCTTTGCCTCTGCGACTTTGATGTTTTTAGATGAAGGTACTCTCCTTTTTTCAGGGATTATTGAAACCGGCAGACTTTTAGTTGTTATGAAAGTTAACACTTATAGTAACTTGTAGAACAGTTACAGGAGATGTGCAGGTGGGGTGTTGGCACTCACTGTTGCTCCTGGCCACCTACAGGTCCCCTTGGCTGCCCTCCCATCTCTCCAGCCCCTGGTGTTGATTCCTTCCTTCAACTTTTATATGGGTTCTGGGGATTGAGCTCAGGTCACCAGGCTTCTATGGCAAACATCCCAACCCCCGATCCATCTTGCCAGCCCACATTTAATTAAATTTTGATCAACAAATAAAAATTTTGTGCATATATAGACATATATGACCACAATGTGATGTTGTTGATGTGTGTCAGCACTCATGTAGTGTCAGCAATTAGACAATCTCCATTATAACTTTTTAATGAAGGTATTTAAAATCTATTTTAGGCAATTTTCCATTGTAAAGCACATTAGTATTGACGGTAGTTACTATTCTGTGCAATAGATTTCTGGAATCTATTTTCCCTGTGTAACCAAAGCCTTGTATACTTTGACCAACATCCTCCCTTGACCCTCGTCCCTGGTAGCACCGTGCTACTCTTTGCCTCTGCGACTTTGATGTTTTTAGATGAAGGTACTCTCCTTTTATCAGGGATTATTGAAACCGGCAGACTTTTAGTTGTTATGAAAGTTAACACTTATAGTAACTTGTAGAACAGTTACAGGAGATGTGCAGGTGGGGTGTTGGCACTCACTGTTGCTCCTGGCCACCTACAGGTCCCCTTGGCTGCCCTCCCCACTAATACACAGACATGCAGGATCCTCATCTGCTTCACCATGGTGCTGTACCTGACTGTCCAGCACCTCTGAAGCCTGCAGTCCAAGTGCATGATGTTCCAATGACGCATGGAGAAGTGGGCTGAGTGCACACTTTCTTTGTGCCTAGAGGCAAGCAGCCGTGCCTAAGACTGCATGTAGCAGTTTGGGATACTGGTTCCAGGCTCCTGTGACTCCATAATGGCAGTATATTGGCAGCCTGGAGCCCAGGCCCCAAGCCTGTTACACAGAGTGCACACCTACAGCTTGCTTTAAGAAAGCAGTCTTAACCAATGCACAGATCTGGCTCACAGTCACAAGTTTCTCCGTGCCTAAGACTGCATGTAGCAGTTCGGGATACTGGTTCCAGGCTCCTGTGACTCCATAATGGCAGTATATTGGCAGCCTGGAGCCCAGGCCCCAAGCCTGTTACACAGAGTGCACACCTACAGCTTTAAGAAAGCAGTCTTGACCAACGTGGAGATCTGGCTCACAGTCACAAGTTTCTCCTATTCCTTTTCCACAGAGAAGTAGCTCATCTTTTCATTTTTCCAAGGTTTTGAGGGAGTGAAATGATTTGTTGCCAGCTTTAGTGGAAAGAATTTTGGTCTTTCTATACGTGATCTGTGACATTATTTTTCATTCATTTGTTTATTTTTTGAGACAGGTCTTTTTTGTAGCCCCAGCTGGCCTAGAACTTGCTATGTAGACCAGGCTGGTTTCAGTCTCACAGAGATCCACCTGCCTCTGCCTCCTGGGGGCTGGGATTCAAAGTGAGTGCCACCACGCCCTGTCTTGTGATATTATAGATGCTGCTCTCCAGTCTGTCTACCCAGGATTCTCTCGCACAGTCCCTGTCTCCACTGATGGATTCTCTTTTTCTCATCATTTTGTGCATATTTCCACGGCCCCTCAGTTTTTGAATGTCATTTCATGAATTCTCATGTTTTCATTAATCACCTCAAACTAAAGACATTCACGTTTTATCTTCTGTCCAGTGTTTTCTTGAGCTCCAAATCAATATTTGCATCATCTTATTGAGTGTTTTTACACAGAAATCACAGGCACCAAACTCACTATCTTCATTTCCAAACAGCTCTATTCCATATTTGACTTTATAATTACTAACATATTCCCAATTTCCAAGCCAGAAATTTAGTCTTCTCTCTCCTGCTTCCCTTTGCAACCTAGTCAGTCACAACCTCATTTTGTACCTGGAGGTACCAAGTGCCTGGCTTAGAGTAAGCAGGGAATAGATGTGTGAGGAAATACGGTTTCACGACTCAAGACTGTGCCTATAGAAGGGGGAGTGGCGGTTGAATCATTTTATGCCTTGTCTCCTTCCAGTCTGAAGTACACTATGAACTCTTTGCTGTGATCGCTCATGTGGGGATGGCTGACTTTGGTCACTACTGTGCCTATGTCCGGAATCCTGCAAATGGAAAATGGTTCTGCTTCAATGACTCTCATGTTAGTTGGGTGAGAAACATCATCCAAAATTGCCACTTGCCCTAGATAGCTACCTCTAATAAATCCTGAGCTGGGGGCTATATGGATGCTTAGTGTCAGGACCCTGCAGTCCTATTCTCGGGGAGAGGCACTTTTATGAGTTGCAAAGTCCTTTTCTACATGTGAACTCCATATAGTTTACAACTCTGTGTGAGTTCACTGTGCTCAATGTCTAGGTTTCTGAGGCTCTAGGCTTGGTGTCCTGAACCTTCAGGCCCCATGGGCAACTTCTACAAAGTCAGAAGAATCAGAAATATATGTTAGAACTCTGGGATAGGCATAAGCAAGTCTAAAGGGCTAGTAAAAAAGACTTCTTAGCTGGGTGTGGTGGCTCATGCCTTTAATCCCAGCACTCAGGAGGCAGAGGCAGGTGGATCTCTGTGAGATTAAGGCCAGCCTGGGCTACATAATGAGATCCAGGCCAGCTGGGGCTGTAGAGAAACCCTGTCTCAAAAAAAAAAAAAAAAAAAAAAAAAGACTTCTTTACACAGGACTAGATTCTCCTGTTCTTGGGAGTTACTGGGATGGATTTATCTACAGGAGTGAAGGAAGGTAAATTTCAGTAGCCTGCATTTTAAGACACCGAATAAATGTGAGCTGAATGTTGACTTTAACTGCTTACACACTTCCAGGTCTCCTGGGAGGACATCCAGTGCACCTATGGAAATCACAAATATCGCTGGTAAGAGAAGAACTGGGTGGTTGAAACCTAATGGACTTACTCTGGGTTCTTGGGGCTATATGAGACTCATATGGACTCCACTGTGGCTTATGCTCTGCCGACTCCCCTGAGACAAACTAATTAGCTCCATCTTTCAACATCTGTCCCAACGCGGCATGCTTTTCTCACTATTGGCATTCCGGTAATGCCTCAGCATGTGTAACAGAGTCCAAGCACCGCCTGCCATTTCCCTCTTAACTGCATATGTGGTTTCTGGTCTCTATTGCTCTGTCTTAATTTACCATCTAGGTAACATCCCGTTTGTGGTCTATTACTCATGGCCTTTTCCTACTGTGCAAAGCCTGTACTGATTGACTTAAGCAGATTCGTAGGGGCTTCTTACCCACTGGGTCTTTCCAGTATGCCTCTGTGTACCAAGGACTTTGCTCTTAATTACTCTCTCGTCTAACTTTTTTCGCATTAGACCATATACTGTTTGAGGGGAAAGGACCACTCTTTTCATCTTTTTGTGGCTGCTATAGTAGCTTGCATTTAGTTAAGCACGTGACATTTCACCTTTTCCTATGCTGATATACCTTCTTCTCTTTCTAGGCGGGAAACTGCATATCTTTTGGTTTACATGAAGACTGGATCCTGACAGTTATACTCAAACCTTCAGAGATCAATAGACTATTATTTTCCTTTCCTATACCTGTGTCTGCTACATCTTCAATTAACAAGCATAATTTTAAACTATAATTCAACTTTATTTATGAATGGGGGTTATTATTGCTGTGACTTGGATATGGTTTGTCTTTGGAAGGCTCACACACTGGAGTACAGTCCCTAGGATGGCAGGAGTGAGGTAATAAGGACCTTTAAGAAGTGGGGCCCAGTGGGAATAACTGGTTGATGGGATCTCCCTCTTTTTTGCACTAATAGTTCTTTTTCTGTTTCTCTACCATGCTGTGATATGATTGACCAGGCTGTGCTTGCTGGACCTTCCAGCCACCAGAATTGTGAGCCAAATAAACTTTATTACACAGTCTCAGTACTTTGTTATAGCAGCAGAAAGTGGATTAGTACAATTGTTAAAAAACTTAATAATAAGCTGGGTGTGGTGGCACATGCCTGTAATCCCAGCACTCATGAGGCAAACTCTGTGAGTTTGAGGCCATCCTGGTCTACAAAGTGAGTTCCAGGCCAGCTGGGGCTACAGGGAGACCCTGTCTCAAAAAAAGACAACCCTATCCAAAAAGCCCCCCAAAACAAACTTAATACTAGGGGAGGGAGTGGGCATGGATTTGATCAAAACACCTTATATATGTATGAAATTCTCAATTTTAAAAGTTAAAAAATAATAAAATGGAAAATTATATACACACACATTTTTCCTGATAAAGCTTTAAACTTCTAAAGTAAAAAAAAAACTTAATACAGCATAGGTCCAAATCAGTTGGAATGGATGATTTCACTAGTGGACCTGAATCATGTGGCTAGATCATAATCTTGAGTGTGGCCTTCATTACAAGGCATGGCCTGTTAAGTTGGGAAATTTTGAGTATAGGTATTATCAGAGAAGAATCAGTGGGAGGTATTGGGGTAGCAAGGGACCTTGGTAGGGAAGTATTTCAGTATTTTACAGCTAATGTGACTCTACTGGTATGTCCTGGCTAAACATCAGCAGTAACTCAAAAATTAAAAAAAAAATGGTTTCTTCTTCTTCTGCCTCCTCTTTCTCCTCTTCCTCCTCTTCTTCCTCTTCCTCTCCCCCTTTTTCTCCTCCTTCTCCTTCTCCTTCGTGTGTGTGTGTGTGTGTGTGTGTGTGTGTGTGTGTGTGTTTATGTATGCATGCATGTGTATGTGCCAGTGTGGAGGTCAGAGTACAACTTATGAAAGCCAGTCTTTTCCTTCCACTGTAGATTTGATGATCTAACTCAGGTGACCATGTTTGTATGACACTTACCCTCTGAGCCATCTCACTGGCCCTCACCCTGACTTTTTAGTTTGTTACACATTTACTTGGAAAATATGTCAAAATGCAACAGTGCCTGAACAAAGATAGCTTCACCCTTGGAGTTATTTAAGCCAAGAGTGAGTCTGATATGTTCTCAGAACTTGTTCCTTCTGATTTCTCTCAGAACTGTTCTTCCAAGTGGGGCATACTGTCTTTCTTTATTGAAATAGTACATCTAGTATGTCATGGGAGAGAAATGAGAAACTTGTCTTATCAGAGAAGAATTTTCCTTTTCTGACAACCTACTGATACAAAACCACAAATGACGTTATCAACTAACCCCAACTGTTGTTTGCAATATAAACTGATTGCTTTCAATGTTGCGGCTTTCAGCAATGTTTTCACAACTCTCTCTCTCTCTCTCTCTCTCTCTCTCTCTCTCTCACACACACACACACACACAAACACACACACACACACAAACACACAAATACATTATTCTGGACCAGGGGAAAGGAAGGTCATGAGGGAGAAATAAGGAACAGAATCTAAGATCAAAGCTGTTTAACTCAGCTTGTAAAAGTTGATTACAATAGGAGCCTAAGGCCTATCAAGATTGTTTACATTGTCTTATTAAAGGCTACCTAGATTTTAAAAAAATGATTACAGAGTAAGAAGGCAGATTGAATAGTATTAAATGATCTCAATACTTTTGCGTAGCTGTAACCAAAGTATCTGAGAGACCAGCTTAGAGGAGGAAAGTTTTATTACTCAGTTTCAGAACATACATGGTTGCTTAGCCCTGCGTACATCATGACTGTGTAAGTGTAAGGGAGTCAGTTTTCCTTATCTCATAGTGGACAGGAAGGAGGGAGAGGGAGAGGAGAGAGAGAAAGTGAGAGAGAGAGAGAGAGAGAGAGAGAGAGAGAGAGAGAGAGAGAGAGAGAAGGGTCAGAGAAGAAAGGGATTGAGAACTAGGTATAACCTTCAAAGTCACACTCTTGCCCACTTCCCTCAGCTAGGCCCCACATGAAGTTTCAGCCACAAAATAGTTACCAACTCGGTATCAAGCATTCAACATATGAACCTGTGGAGGCATTTCATTCAAATTACAACAGTATTGTGTGAGCCTGTGGGGACATTTCATATTCAAGTCACAGCAGTAGTGTGCTAGACTACAATCATGGGTAATGTCCTTTCCTGAAAAAGAAATCTGTGGCTTGCCAAAGGACAATTGAGATAAATAAGATACTGAAGATTTGTGCCCCAGGAATTGACAATGAAATCCCTGTCTTGTGAGGTTTGGGGTAAACATTCAGGTGGAAGGAGGCTTAGAGCAAAGAATGATCTTATCTGTAGGGAATGTGCACTCAGTGACGTGGATGAAACAGATAGTACTCAAGGTTGAAAGAAGTCCCATGGCTTTCCCATGCTAAGGAAGCAAGTGCTAAGAGGTAAAGACTGAAAGAGAGGTGTGTGTGGGGTGTCTCAAACTAGGCTAAGACTTTTGGATTTAGTTTGATAGTTAATGAACCATTGAAGGGGTTCAAAAAGGAGAGAAGTGCTTAGCTGTGTTACAGTAAAACTAGTTTTCAGGAAGCCAGTGATGAAGATTAGAGAAATAAATGAGAAAGACATTCACAGTCACTAGAGCCATTTTGGATGAAGAATGGATATGGGTGGTAAGAGGAATCCAGAGAGTCTAACACCAACATGGGAGGTGAATAGGCTGCATGTTAACACCCCCAGATTTTACAGATGAAGTAATGCAGATGTTCATATACTTACTGACTTGTTCTGTATTTCATGTTTGTATTAGCTCAGGTTCTTTAGGGGAACAGAACCTATAGGATGAATACATATTAAAAGGGGATTTATTAGATTGGTTTACACAACATGATCTGGGTAGCCCAACAATGGCTATCTTCATACTGAAGAGGCTCAGTCCATGAGGCTGGATGCTGAAGCAGTCTCCGTCTGGTGCGGAAGGCCTGCAGGATTCCTGGAGAGCTGCTGGTCTTCGGTCCGTGTTGGTAGGCTAAAGAAGCTTAGTTCTGGTGTCAGTAAGATGGCAGTGGTGGTGGCAGCTGCAACAGCAGAGTAGGTGCACTTGCTAGTAAGAGGCTGAGGCAAGCAGGCAAACGCCAAAGCTTTTCCTGGAGCCTTGTTACGTCTGGGCTGTTACCAGAAGGTGCTGTCCACATTTAGAGTGGATCTTCTCACTTCAGTGAACCTAATCAAGAAAATCTCTCACAGACATGCCCAAGAGCTAACCTAATCTAGATAATTCCTCACAGGAGTGCCTAGAGGCTCATAGATGATTCTAGAACTGTCAAGTTGACAATACGTGTTAACTATCACAATACTTGAAAGGGCTTCTACTGAGTGAGGGACAAATTCTCCAAGGGGGTTGTTTTCTGGTATCAGGGCTGACTGGAGGCTCAGGGCATACTTACTCCTCACAGAGGCAGATCAGAGCCAAGTGATAACAGGTACTATTTAGCTAGACTGTGTCAGGGCGAGGGGTGGACTACAGTGAAGATGAACTGTAGTATGCAACACCAAAACTACGTGACCTGGGCTGGAGACACAGCTGAGTAGTTAAGAGCGCTGGCTTCTCTTGCAGAGGACCTGGGTTAGTTCCCAGCACCCACAAGGCAACAACTGTCTATAACTCTAGTTCCAGGGAATCCAGTGCCCTTTTCTGACCTTTGTGGGCACTGGATGACACCTGTGCACTTGCATGCAGGCAATACACTCATACACATAAAATAAAAAAATAAAATATTTAAAAAAATTACATGATCTGGGACTGGAGAGATGGCTTGGCAGTTGAGAGCACTGGCTACTCTTGCAGAGGATCCAGGTTTGATTCCCAGCATCCACATGACTGCTAACAACCATTCCTAACTCCAGTGCTAGGGGATCCAATATCCTCTTCTGACTTCCTTGGTCATTGGATGATACCTGTGCACTTACATACGTGAAGCAATGCACTCATACACATGAAAGAAAAATAATAAATAAAATACCTTTTTTAGGGGGTCTTTTTGAGACAGTCCTTGTAGCAGCAGCTGACCTGAAACTTGCTATGTAGATCAGGCACCAGGCTGGCCTTGAACTCACAGAGATCCACCTGCCTTTGTCTCCTGATTGCTGGGACTAAAGGCATGAGCCAGCACACCTGGCAATAAATAAAATATTAAAAAAATTATGTGATCTGGTAAAAAAGGGAACAAAAGGCCAATTGTTTCAGTTTAGACCATTTTGAACCTGGAAAATTCTTGCTACAATAGGTGGAAGGTAAATGAAGTCTCTCAATGTCCATGGACCCAGCCAAGGCTGATGGGGACTCCTGCCACATCATGAGCCCCAGCCCAGAGGGGATTTCTGAGCTGTGCACAGTGTGGCAACAGACCAGTTCCTAGTACCCTCTCCTACCCAAGCTGTTGCTGCAGGATACCATTGTGAGAATGAACCAACTGAGCTGCACCCCACTGCCATTTGTGACTTCCTTTCTTGGGCTGCTGGGATGGTCCTGTCCTCATACTCTCCACCCCCAGAGGCTGGCTGGTATGGCCCTGCTGCCCTATGTCTACACTATACCATACCTACTTAGGGTCCAAGGTGTAACCACACAGCAATGTAACCATACCTTACACTGCAGGGTGTAGAGCTACATCCTGGGGAGGCTTATGCATCCCCAGCTCTGCTTGGCTTGTAGAGAGGGACGAACTCTGTGTCCCCCTCTCCTTGCTGCATAAACTAGGCCCAAGCCATTAATTAGAATTGATGGAGCTAGGCAGATACTATACCATTGTGACCAGTGGGAACCACAGCCAACATAGCCTGCCAAATTGACATCTTAGGATATTTCTGCAAAGTCTTTACTTTCAAACACCACCTTAGCCGGGCATGGTGGCACACACCATTAGTCCCAGGACTCTGGAGGCAAAGGCAAGCAGATCTCTGTGAGTTCCAGGCCAGCCTGATCTACATAGTGAGTAGTGAGTTCCAGGCCAGATGGGGTACAGGGAGACCCTATCTCGAAAAGGCCAAAAAAAACCCCCAAACCAAAAATAAACAAACAAACAAAC